TCACTGCTCCATCCCCTCTTCCTTGCGTGCATTCCCCCACCCCGCCCACCCCCACAACGTGGCCCAGCCCGATAAGATTCTATAAAAAGAAACGCCACAGTTCGAGATTTAGCCCACACTCGGCGGCCATATTTGATCCCCACCGCGGCGTACTGCTCGTGGCGCCGCGAAGAGAGAGAGGAGGCTCCATTAGTTCTAAACTCCTTGGGGCACCCCCTATAACAAGATCTGATTGCTCACTCGGCCAAAAAAAAAAGCGTCCGCTCCGCGCACTGGATGGCGCTGCAGTCTTTGTTTTGAAGCTCTCTTTCGTTTCTCCAGAAGAAGAATAGGAATAGCCTAGCCAAGGAGGTACCCGGTAGTCGAATTTTTAGTCGTTGTATTTTTAGTAGGCCTCCACACTCCATACTTGAGTTCACACATAGGCCTAGATCTAGATCTACGCATCATGGCCGACTTGGCAGAGACACTCCTTCGCGAAGTCGAAAGTAGGGAGTCTTTAGACTCACTCGAATTCTCAAACCGGCAAGGCGTTAATCATCAAGCTGTAGTTGGAGCTGTGAAAAGTCTTCAGTCACTTGGCAATGTAAGTAGGGGAAGATTTCATGTAATTGACAAGTTGTGGTTACAAAAATAGCAGACCTAACCTAGGCTACCAGCTGCTTCATTTTGTCATTATAAATTCATTATTAGCAGAGTAAGAAAGATGTTCTGACTGCATTGTGATTGTGTCGTTGTTGCGTCACCCCTTCGTCAAGGCGTTAGATCTATGGGCCATCCATACCTTGATTTACATGGAGCGAAATCTCTTTTGATTTTTAGGTTTGCGAATTGATTTTCTCTTCTCCTTTTCCTTTTTATAAACGAAGTGGCTAGCTAGACCGCCAGTCTAGCCTTACTTAGATATCTAATCTAGGTTTGGCCCTATCGACTCAAGCCTGTTAAGTACACAGGTCTCATTAGATCTAGATTCTAGATATATAGATCTAGATGTAATCGGTTCAAATATATATGCAAGTCAGTAAGGCACCTTTTGGTTTTGTCTGAAATACAAATACTTTAGGCATTGCAAACTACAATTCAGCCATCAATATTAAGTACGGCTAACCTGACAGTCTAGCCGTCCTTAAGTACGGCTAGCCTGGCTGTCTACCTGTACGTACGGCTAGCTATTAACATTAGAAAACAGAAAATTCATACACTATCCGAAACAGTAAAAAACATCATGTTTGCATGGATACCCAGCCATGTGGGCATCCGAGGGAACAAGCAGGTAGACGACCTGGCAAAGAAAGCTTCATCCCTTCTGCTGGGATCAACGACAAACACTCTCCCACAGACTGACTTTAGAAATAAAGTAAAAAAGTACACCTCTAGTCTGTGGGAGACCCACTGGGAAAAGCAGAAAAATAATAAACTATATGAAATAAAACCCAAACTAGAACAGCGAAATCCTTCGGACCTCTCCAGAAGAGACGAAGTCATTTTTACTCGATTGCGCATCGGACACAAGGCCCTGACCCACAAATACCTCCTACAGGACAGGGAGATGAGAAGCTGTTCTGTGTCGGATGCGACACAGATTTTACCATTAGAAGACACATCTTAACAGAATGTCTAGACTTTGGAGAGATCCGAAGGAAATCGGAAATATTATAAATGCAAGAAATTGCAAGATATTTTTTCCGTCGTTGGTCCCAGCAAAATTTCGAATTTTATGAAGGCCATTGGCCTTTATGGCAAATTGTAAAATGAAAACGTACTATTTAAAAATTGTATTGTTACTTATAAGAGTTGTTTTAAGTCACAGATATATTTACACTGAATTTTAATATTTTAACATTTTAGCATTTTAGAATCAATTAGTTAACCAATCGTGCAGCAAACTTTTACGAAAGTAAACAACTTGTGTTTCGCGCGCTCATATGAACTTACCAGTTGCGAGCGCCGTAAAACCCTATATACTAATGATAACATTAGAAAACAGGAGGTTTAAAATACTTGCACTGTCATTAAGGCACCTGGTTTCGTCTCAAATACAAATACTTTAGCTTATTTTTAAAAAAATGGTTAGTCTAGCCATCATATTTAGAATAAGTACGGCTATACTGCCAGTCTAGCCTAGCCAACCAGTCTAGCCATACAGTAGTGCAATAGCCTCTTCCTTTTATAAATTATAATGGTACTATGGTGGTGGTTGGAAGAAAAAAGCTGTCAGGTTACTGTCAGGTTACAGATGACAGGAGTCTGCCCCCCCCCCCCCCTCTTGATTTCTAAAAAGCAGTCCCATCTGGTCACTTGCTTGCTGTATGTAGTGACTTAACTTGTCAATCACATATATATATATATTTGTGAGGCAGCATGGTGAGGTGAAATCAGGCACACGTCAAAATAACGAAAGTCAAGAAATTGGCATTTTATTACTCGTTTGGGGATTTTTATCTAATTTTGTTTTTTGGCTCAACACCTTTCATGCCCATAAAGAACACATTTTTGTGTGGATTTTTTACTGTAAAACGTTGATTAAAGGCAGAAAAGATGTAAGTTTTTAGTTTCCACTGACTCTTATAAATGGATATATATTTTTTTCATCAAAAGCAAGACAAATGGACAGGCGTTTAAGCTGATACCAATTTAACCCCATATACCCTTAAATTGACGGGTGCCTGATTCCACCACGTCGTGACACATTTTGTATGGGCAATTCTCCTGAAAACTTGAACTCTTTGTAACGGCTGCATCTATTTAGACTCGAGTCTGAACAGCCCCACGTGGCTATTCGGACTCACAACTCCAATGCGCGTGCGTAATCACAGAGTGTAGGTGTTGGCTACTGGATGTGAAGCGGACAGGCAATTCAACCTTGGCCTTCCTCGGTTTTTACAATCTGACCAAAACTTTCTACACAAATTAAGAAAAGTATAACTTTTAGCTTTGGTTTTAGTAGAGGTTTTACTGCGCTTGCAACTGCATAAGGTCTTATGAGCGCCAAGGGGTGGATGTCAACAGAGAAGTCCTTACAGGGAATCAGACTTACTCTGTTCACCCCTCCAGCTTCTATAGCACAAAGTCTGCTTCGACTATCAAGTTGCCCCGGAAATAGCTGGTCACAAGAGTGTGACAAACATACAAAAAAAGTAGAGGTAAATGACGATAGTAAGGATTAGGAAAGAAGCAACAGTTCCCTGTTGTAGTTCAGGCACAGTTCTGAGCATGACGTGGTTGGATCAGCCCATTTACAATTCTACTGTTCATTAGAACGAGAAATGTCCCCCCTTTGGGAATGGCCAAAAAACACTACAGTCAGTGGCATCGCCCCGGGGGGTTAAAGTATAACTTTGTGGCGTCAAAAGTGAACAAGAGTTGCAAAATCTGAAATATACTACAGTGGGTGTCGCATTCAACGAGGTTGCCGGGACCGGCTTGTTGTCCTCGTTGGATCCGACCTCTCGTTGAACGTGACTAAGGCTAAAGTAAAGAATGGAGACAAGTTATTATATAGGATGTACCAATACCAGTAATTAAAACAGTTGCTCCCCCTGATGATGAAAATCTCACACAGATTCAGTGTGCGTGTGTTTGAGCTGTGTCCTGACCGTCATTTCTTTATTTTGAAAATATTTTTCCCGGACACTTCTCGTGTGGAAACAAACCCTCTCACATCTAGGCCTAGATATCTACATAAAGTAAAGGCGCGAGCTTGGATTTTCTGATCAGGGGAAGAAAAGAAAATTGAAAAAAATGAAAGTCTCGGTCTAGACCTACCCATCCAGAGTTCATCCAGTTTCACCCAGCCCGCATCGCGTTTCCACCCACCCCCTCCCGTCCCTACCGTAGGCTAACCCTCGCTCATCCTCTTGGCTTTGGGGCCCATATTAGGAGGCATACTAGATCTAGCAATACAATGTGTTAGGAATCGGTGATGGGCCTTGTGCTTAGCGTGAGATGGAGAGAAAGGAGTAAAATTCTTCGCTTTTGTTGTCGCTAATTGCTTTTATTTGGTTATCGCGACCTCGTTGAAAGCAACTTCAGTCTGTTTGCAACCTCGTTTGAGCCGACGTACATTTACAAAGAGATATAGAGGAAAAAATCAGGGACTAAGGATTGCCTCGTTGGAGCCGACTTCTCGTTGAATGCGGCACCCACTGTATACAACTAAGGCAAACAGGGAAACGGCAATCTGAGCTGAAAGCAGTGAAAAAATTGAAAATCAAAGTTTCAGAACAACAAATTATTATACGTAGTCTAAACCTAGTTTATTTGACGAAAAAGACAAAATCATCGAACAGTTGAAAGTCCAATTAAAAATAAGAAGAGAAAAGTTAAAACCCTTTCAAAGGGAACAAAGGTCAGTCATTCAAAGTAACAGTGGTCTAAAGGAAAAGCTTTTCCAACAGCGATGTTCAAATTAAATCAGGGTAAAGCAATACATTCAGGTGTTAGACAAGTAACAATCCTTCTACTGTCAACTCTGAAGTAGGGGTATCAGCTCAAACTGAAAGTGTTACTAAAGTCATAAAAATGTTAATTTTGAGGGGACAAATAAAATGCAAGTTTTGTTCAACATTGAGTCATTGAAAGTTTCAAAGAATCAACCCAGAAACGTGCCATTTCAAGCTGCATATATGAGCTCTAGAGAGACGAATGGTCAACTACTGGACAGCCACCCCTTTCCCCGAGATTATTTATGTAAATTTTGAATAAATTCATTATTTAATGCACAAATTCACATTATAGTTGATCAAACAGTCTCAGACACATGTATGAAAGAAGGAATGATTACGGATTATGAAAATGCAAGATCGAGATGAAACTTAAGTAAAATTATTTTGTGTATAATACAGGGGGCGGCTCTTGGGGCTAAAAAGTGGACGTGCACAATAATAATTAAGCTATCGCATGCTGAAGATGGTCAAGGGCATAGTAAATGAGACGGTGTATAATTTTAGGATCTTTGGGTTTTGAGCTTTTAATTTCAGTCTTTTTACTTGTCGCTTTGATTTCAAGTGCTAAATTTGTTTGTTAGCTAAACATTTTCTTTCATCCTGTATTGGAACTGAACACTCAAGTAATAACTTTCACCACTCCACTACAAAACATTCAAAGGCACAACTCATAGGACGGTCACGTTCACCTCCCTCAGGTTCACGGTCACAGAGTCACTTAAAATAGTGGCAAGACAAACAATGAACCAATCACAATTTACTTTCAGAGCACTACGCTGGATTGCTCCGGGGCTCGGCAAAGAATAGCATAGGGTCTTTCGTGTTTATTTTTGGACTGCCTACTGTGGACTATGTTTCGGCACTATTCGGCGGGAGCACATTTGAGATGTGCCATCTTATTGATATTAATGTACCGCCAAACTCGCTACAAGTGTCGTCATCGCTTGGGTTATCCCAAAGAGCGATTTATAGGTCTGGTTACACTGTTGAATATCCTTTTCTGTTTAGCTAAAGCGCGTGAACTTTGGCTTGCCATAGTAGATGTTTTACGATGCTATAGACATAGAAATGACTGAAATGACAGTTATGGCGCCAGTGAGGACCTTGTTTTGATATAATATTTGGCTAGTGTTTGTTTCTG